GGCAATGTGTTCAAGATATTATTTGTTTGCCCGAGTGGAAAATTTTCAGTGATCGCGCAACACTGGCTAAGTTTGCTGAAAAGAAGTACCAATTTGTGCTTTGATGCGATAATTTGTTGTGTTTAAATGTAAGTGTAATTACTCGCCTTGTTTAGTGCCTTTCACTTTGGATCTTATCAGCAAAACTTGTTTAAAGCCTCATCGTTTGTTTTTGGTTTATCGAATGTCACATATTGTATTGTTCTATTTGGATGTATTCATTGTGAGGTTAAATAAGTTATCAGATTGATTGTTTTGATGTGTTCAAATCCGGAGAGATTAAAGGTTTTAATTGTTTTCGTTAGAATTGTTAATTGCTTTCGCCTTGCAAAATTTCGTGAAATGACGGGTTTTAAGGAATTCCGATGTATGATTCTTACTGATAAGAGAGCATTTTTGTATGAAATCTCATATGAACTTGAGTTTTGTTCCGAGATCTGTTCAAAGCCATGCAGCGCTTTTTTGTTGGCCTATCACGTCTTCAGTTAATGGCATCCAGAAAATTGCAGATATGGGCGATCTCATGGTTGGTTCGGTGAGTTTCCGCAAACACATAAATTTTGCTGCCGTCCTCTTAAAAGTTGTGCATCTTGATACAGTTGAATGGAGTAGGTATGACAAGTGCATTAATTTGCCGACTTATACATTGTTTTCGAGAAAGGTACGTCGATGTCAATATCACATAAAACGTGAGTATATATTTCGTTTAGATGCTTATGAGGCAATACGTTTTGCACACTTCATTTTCTATTCGTAATCGGACTTTACGGAAGATGTGGGGTGAGAAAATGAATGGATATAGAATATGGGATGAAATAAGATAGAATCAGTGGTACATTTGAAGGGAATAAGAAAATTATCTCGACATAACGGGAATGTAATGCAGTAGATACTGATGGGTATGAGAACGATGAGACATCGTGGGAATCCGATGTATAAACCGGAGAGAGAATATGACAAATGATTAAAGTATTGGAGATCAGCTTCTGATGGAAGTAGCTGCTCAGAAGGTATGCACGCGTTAGATACCCCCTTACATAACTGCCCTCCCGTAGCTCTACGTGATTTTCATGTCAAATTCCCGAGATTTCTCGTCACTCTCATTCCCGACATTGCTTACTGCATTACACTTCCATTACATCTTGCTAATTTTCTTACTCACTTCAGTCACATCACCCATTCGCTCTCAATTAACCTCCTAACTTCAACGCATTCAGCTTATCAGTTCGATTAAAGCGTAATGTGTGATTTGGCAGTTCAAGACAAAGTTATCCTCACATTCAGCTTATTATTGTTATTCTATTCCATTTTTGGTCTGTACGGATTTCGTGAAATTTTGTTGTAATTGTAATTCAGAAATTGAGCACGTTAATGAGATGGGATGGTAGTTCTGCGGATTACTTTTAGAATCATTTCAATATATAGGTGTGATGATCGCTGAATTGCACCATAAGGGGACTGAGCCAGCCGATGTAATAAGACACAAATGGTCCAGAATTCCAGTTGAAATATTCAGCGTATTGATGCTCTTAAATGGTAATGAGAAAATGTTTTGTGGGATGCTGTCAATTGATAAGTTATTTTTGATTTTTGGTTATTTACTGATTATTGATTAGCTCACGATTGCTTATTTTTTCATTGTTGCAGTTTTTTGATGACATTCTAATGCTACATCATCGAATGAAAATTTCTGATTGTTTACTGGTACAGTGAGGTTTTTCTTCCCAAACGAATCAGCGATGCGATCGCAATTTTTGAAGAAAAGTTGGGAAATAGCGATTAGCTGGTCAATTTTGCTGATTTGCTACTTGTGAGTAGCGTTTCAGTAACATCACCACTAATTTTTACGGTCAGTGACAGTTTTGGTGAAAAGTTTTCGCTATTTTTTGTATGCAGCGCTAATAACGAATTACGTTTATCGGAACAGAAATATTTTTTAGCAGAATATTCAGAAATTAATTTTTTGAAAAAGTTTAAAGCGATTATTTCATTAGCGTGCCGCCCATCATTGCACAAAAGCATTAACATTATTTACGTGTATTATCATTGCATATTGCTATTATCACTTGTATTGCCACGGATCACTGTTATTATTCCTATAGATCAGTAACTGTTATATATTACTGTTTGTGTTATGATTATTACTGTCCAATGTTATCATTATTTCAGCAATTAATTAGCATATTGCCTTCAATTATTGACTCGATCCAATCAGTCCCATCAACTAATTGAATACATCGTTTGAATTGTTTATGCGTTATCGTTATTGGTCACCGTCATCATAGCCACCGCCATTTTAATATCATCACGCACCGCATGAGTATATTTTTCATTTACACCACACTCGTACGTCAATGATTTTCGTGAACTAATCAATTTAGATTTTTTTATTTACCGAAGTGCTTTGCAGAATGATGCGACGATGCAGTGTCGTGCTAATAGATAGTGTTTATACATCAAGAATAGCCTTTCTTCATCGTCATAATTTCATTCGAATGGCACATTGCAATTGTTTACGAAGCACTTCTCAATCTGCGGTATGTTCACTTTGAAAGAGCAACCGATCTAGTCGCGAATTCCCATTTCTGTGTGTTTTCTTCTTCGCTTTAGTTTCACAAGAAGTTTGAATGCGACCTGTTTTCGGTGAAATGTTATCATGTTGACTGAAGTTTCAACATAACTCGAAAAGAAATGAATTTTTGAATGTTTTTATAGATTCGATACAATGATGTAAAGAAAAGTGACTTATTGGATCAGAACAAATTCTTATATTCAACGGATTCTGAAAATGGAACTAAGCCGGCAGAAGGTAAAGATGTCATATCATCAAACGAATCAAATTTACCCACTAAAGAGCTGCTCTTCCAGATTGATTGGCTCTTCGAAGTTTTGGTTCGTTTTTTGAGTTCAGTCAATTTTAGTTGCCTAGTTATCCATCGAGTGATTAATGATTGTAGCATATTTTTAGTCAGTACATACTATTCTAAGTGATGTGATTTGATTGCGTGATTAAATTGCTTTTTTTTCCAGGTTCCGGGTTTTATGAAGACTAGACTGCGCCCCTTTCTTGATATCACCAGCGATGATGTTATTTTTGAAGATAGGATATTCAACTACAATTTCGTGTTGGTTATTCACATTATGACCTTTATTAATATCAGCCTTTTTGGCTCATAACTTGAAATTAATGTTATGGTATTGGGTAGAAATACTTTTTGAGATTGAACACCACTTAACT